GTTTTTACGTTATATTATAGCTTAAGCAATCTCTTTTCAGTGATAACTTAGGCTACAGCTTCTATACACAATCTATGAACATGAAAATAACCGTAGCCTAAGCCTTAACTCAACAGAAAACGACTGGCGTCCCTAGTGTGCTTCCATTCATCATCCTGTTAATGTAAGATTAATAACTACTACAAGTACACCGGCTGGCATGAACTTGTGAAGCGCGTCACCTTGATACAACAACGGTTACGCAATAATATCGAGTGTGTGTATTTTACTTGCTCTTTTAAAGCTTTTTCTCTCTCTCACAATAGCCTAAGTGTAGTCTTTATATCTTACAGCATGAGTCCACATGTAGTCTCACAGGTAATCTGATTTTCTCCGTCTCTCCTCTTTTTCTTCTCTTTAACACACTCACGCCGTTGCTTTTTGTAGAAGAACCAGTACTCACGTTTATAACTTCGCCCACAGAGACGTAATCCCTTTGATTATATCTAATACCTGCCAAAACCCAGATGGCATGCCCACCCATCGCTCAGTGTGATAATGCCACATTGTGAAATCTAGCCATTAATATTAATTTTCAGTCCGCGAATGTGTCTGAACTGCTGAAGCTTAAAATTCCTCAAAGAAGCCAAGGCTTGATTTACCAGGGATTTTAAGAGCATTCCCATTTCGCCCCTCTCCGTCCTTTGAGGTAAAACTTGTATTCAGTGGGATAGGCCTATGTAGACTTAAGGTGGTCAAAGTCTTTCACAGGCGACACGAAAAGGCCTAATTCATCTTACGGTCAGTCTGATTTCTTGTGTCAAATAACATATTCGTTTTTGCGACATTGGACAAAGTGAAACAGTTTGCACTGATGTATTTTATGGAGGTTTCTGTCCTTCATTTTTAGGGTCTTTTGTACGAATTAAACATGTTTTGGAAGCGAATGCACTTAGATAAAATAATTTCGATAATAATGCTCACTTTTATAGTAAAATTTTACATGGTTAATTACTCAAACACGATTCACAGATCCTGTCCCAAGAGGATACTATCATGATCACAACCATATCTGAGAGACACATGCATGCCATTTAATTTAGAACTAGCAACAAGACGAGGCCGATTTAATTCCACCCAGGAGGGCCAGTGTATGGCCTTCACTCTTTATCTGTCTGTAAATTAGTCCAAAGTCTATCTATATGGCATCCACAAACTAACTGTGTGAACCACAGAGTATGGAGATCTTTACATACTAAATCGCCACATCTGGCAAACAAAGCACTCAGATAAAGAGGCAAATAAATATTTGGCCAGTATTTTTTGTTTACTTTTTTATTTTCACTGTATTTGGATTAAGTAAAATATGCCTCAGTTCTCATTTGTACTGTAATCGCTTTGATAAGAAAGTTTAAAGAGAATATAGAAGTAAATGTACACTTTATAAATTACAAATATTAATAACGTGCAATAATAATGCGCAATAAGAACGTTGCAATTGATTGAACAAAAAATAGCCATAACATATAAATAAATAAATAAATAAATAATAAATAAAAATTGAACCGAGAACGTAATTTATAAAACTCAGAAGGATTCACAAATTGTTTTCTTTGTTTTGCATATTTATTAGTTTGTTTAGCACTAATTAACACAAACTGGTGTTAGAACAGGTACTAGTATTTGCTACCAGACACGTTGTTTATCAAATGCTCAATAACGAGTGACAGGTGCTCTTTGAGTACTAAAACGAAAAGTTTTAATAAATTTGGCCAGATAATGTAATGTATTGGAATAGTCTTGAAATCTATCCCGTTGGAATGCATGCGGAAAACCTATTTGTAATAATAAAGAAATTGCAACAAAAGCCACATAATGCCCATTTTTATACTGAGAACTCTTTCCAGTTAAAGTTAGGCAAAGATAAACGAACACACTGGCACTCTCTCTCTCTTATTTACACACAAAGTGCACGAGAGGGTTTTCACTCAGTGCTAATCTCGCTGGTAAAGCATAAATGCCAATAAAGCCCCTCTTTCAACATGACATCAGCGCTGGACAACAGTTGCGGGAAAACAGATCTGCTGATGAATTGCCAGAGCTAGTGGGAAAATGAGAGGAGTGAAGCATGAACAGGGCGTTGGGCGTTGATTTATCGCATAAGCCCTCGGTCATTTCCATATGTTAAAATGCGCCCAAGGGGCCAGTCAGTCAATTTCCTTGAGCCACTACCCGTGGAAGGCAGGCACATGACCAAAAGAAATTCAACTGTCTTGCTTTTTTCCCTCCTCTGACCCATGGACCAATATTCATTTTTGGTAGTTTTAAATAGTGAAACCCTACTATTTACTTGAAGGTCGCATTTTAATAAAATGATCTACCAGCAGCAATCATGGTATTTTGTAGATTTGGTAATCTGGATTTTTTTGTCATCCACAGGGCCTCGCGCATTGAGCTGAAACGTTATTTTAAGCATGAATCTGTCATCGCATTTTCCTCTCACTCTCATTTCCAATCGCTTCCTCTGTCACTCTCTCACACAAAAGCACTTTTTCTGTACGAGCGAGCGCGCCTGACCGTGCATTGGAGAGATGGATTTTGCGATGCATTTAACGTCTGGCTGATTTATGATGGGATCAGTCGCATTGTCATTTACATATTGAAATTCGGTTTGTACGCGGCGTTTTGTTGCTGCCTGATAGCTTCCATTCCTGAAGGAGGTGTAAACGCTCCGTTTGCGCTGATCAATGTCCGCCTGGAACAGGGACAGACTTTCAGAAAAGTAAAAATGTGGAAAAAAAGGCGGTCTATCAGCCAATGGCCTGAGTGGGCAGGTGCCATGGTTAGTGTTACATCCCCAAATTTGTCCAGCACCGAAAGCTTCTATACAGAAAGATCGTTCAGTCAAAAGCAAACACTTTTTCCACACGTTGCATCCTAACCTCACTAGCATTTGCTATTCACGCGTAAGGAAATATTAATTTTGATTTTGTAGAGATCGTTGCATGCAGACAATATAATCACAGTTTCCGACTACAGCTAACCTCACTACTTTTTTAAACAACGTTATTTTTTCACACTTGGAAATATTTCGAGCGAGGTTAAACAATGCAATCTTTCTGTGGTATGCCTGAACTGCAGAGCACATTCCCTCTCGAGAGGTCCTAAATGAATCCGTGGTGTATTTCTGTCAATCACCCTGCACGATCGCAGAAATATTAGACGCTTAAAAATAAAAGTCCTAATTAGAGCCAAAATGTGTTTTACAGCTTGATTCTGTATGATAACCTTCTATGGTTACTTTTTATTATCCAGAAACCAGTTTATGCTGGTGCTTTAAAGAGCCTCAAAGCAATGATCTGAATTAGCTTTTATAATATTCAGATAATCATATAGCCAACCCAAGAACCCTACATGCTTCTTTGAATATTGTTCTTTGCTTAAAGCACTTTATTGTTATTATATGCTTTTTAAAGAATTACATAATTTACGCGCTGTACTCTTAAAAGTGCTTTAAATGTATCTAGCTCCCTTTGTGCATGGTGGAGAATATTGCGCTGCATTGAAACGAAATCAAAGGCTTTATATACCGTCAGATCGATACGGTGCTTTTAATCATATATTGTTGAGAACAATGACCTGAAAAGCATCGACACAGTCAGTGTGGTACAGTCGAGCGAATCCATTGGCATTCCCAGATAGCACTCGCGCAGAGTTGACCTTTTTACCCAGCGCAAACCTGACTCAACTTTCGCGTAAAGATCTGACACCTCGCGCTGAAAAAAAAATACCCACACACGCACCAGCACAGCGATCAGCCTTGGTCCAGAAACAAAGATGTCAGTGTATAAGCCTGCAAAGCAGTTTCACTCACTCGCTCGCTCGCTTGCTCACGGGTCACGTATTATCTCCAGCATTCGACTTCAATTCCGATCGGTTCCCTATTGAATTGTGCCTTTTCCCCGCAGACTTTCACTTGTTCACGCAGCCTCTGCTTTGAGTCTCTGGAACAGTCGCTATAGTCTAGTCGTACTTCTACTAGTTCTCAGGGGTGTCTCTCTCTTCCTCCCACCTCGTGCATTGAACTAGCTTGTCATCGCGTTCGGTTATGCTTCATGTCTCTTTAATTTCGAATGCATCGGCGCTGTTTACAGCATCTTTATATTTCTAAATCCACGCGGCGGTTTACTGACACCCTCCCTCCTCCTCCCAGTCGCCATTCTCTATAATCTGAACACATCTGAAAGTTATTACCCCGGCCCCTTTCTTTCTAGTGGGCTGCTCCCACAAATCTATTCGTCAGTGTGTTGTTATATTTTTACAATTGCACTCTTGTAGTATTTAAGTCCTACCTACATCGCTTGTAAAGCGCGCGAGCGAGTATCCTATCCTGCTCTATGTGATGTCCCTTAAGTTTCTATCTGTTCTGGAGGAATGTGGCAGCGCACGCGGTGGTTGAACCCACATGACCCGGCTCGGAACCTGTCTGTCCTGTTCATGCAACCCGACCGTGTGTCTCGCCGAGAAGCAGCTTGCGCGCTACCTCTGACTGACCGTTTGACCAGGAGTCGAGTGGCTGTGTTTGAAACACCATCAGTGTCCACTACGAAACCTTATATGCGAGGTTCCTCTCCTCCTCTCTTTGTATATATAGCATGTCCGGCCCCCTTGAATCTCCTGTCCATTGGCTTTTCGTGCTCTGTTTTCCTGCGTCCACCCCCAGCGCGCACACACACACGCCGCAGCGCACATTGCTTTCATTAAACATATCTCCCCTCTCTCTCTCTTTCTGTGTGTGCGTGTCTCTCGCTCTCTCTCTCTCTCGCATCTTGTCCGGCCCCCTGATCTTTCTGTCCATTGGCTTCTTCGGGTCTATTTTTCATGTCCAGCCCCTAATGAGTGTCCATTGGTTTTGCTATTTCCACTCCCTCCTCCCACTCCACGGCTTTGCCCTGCCCATGTTCAGTATGTCTGTGTCCATCCATCTCCTGACGTTCAAGTTCGCAGGGACGTCACGTCCGCACTTGAACTTGCAGCTCAGGGGGGCTTTTGCCATTTTTTCATCTCTCTCTCTCTTTTCAAAAAAGCCATGACGGCTATCCCACAATCCATCTTCCCTGCGCCATCTTTGTATTATTTCTAATTTATTTTGGATGTCAAAGGCATTGATGAAGATATTTTCTCTGGAGTCTCCCTTCTAACCCGGCTCTCCCGATGTGAACCGAGCTGAAAGCCACCACCAACCACCATGTCTCGCCGCAAGCAAGGCAAACCCCAACACTTAAGCAAACGGGATTTTTCGCGTAAGTAAAGACAAATATATGTTGTGCCCGTTCGCTTTACCTGATTTTGGCTCCGTTCTGTAGTGTTGAGTTGCTGGAGAGGAGCGTAATTCTCAGTGAAGACACACTGGACACTGGACAGCGCAGATCAAGTGGACTTTAGTGAAGAGAGCGTTCCCATCTCTGAAATGCCTTTATGCGCACCCTCGTCCGCCGAAATGCCACAAAAGTTATCTCTGCAATGCCTTTACGCGCACCCTCGTCCGCCGAAATGCCACAAAAGTTTGCTTTCCATCGCTATACTTGGAGAAGTTCATGCTGGATCTGTGTTTAGGCGCATATGTCTTGGCTCTCGTGCCCTAGTCGCCTTGACCACTTAAGAGCAAGCGCTCACATATACCGGACTGTGGTGGGTATATGCAGGCGTGCTTTCGCTCGCTTATTTACGCTCACATCTCGTGGAATGTCCCGTAACGCTGTCTGTCTGTGATTCTGGGCAGGATTTCCCCCCTCTTGCACTATTTTTGGAAGATTTTCAAAGAGTGGAAGTAAATTTTGATTGGGAAAAATCTCGTGTCCGACTGTTTACAAGCGCCGCGTGCGCGTATACCCACTGCCAGCAAATAGAGCACGATAGTCGCCTGTGTGAGGCTAACAATGCAGAGCAAGGCATCTGCATTTAAAATCTATTTGAATTCTAAACTCAAGCTTTTCTTACATTTGAAGCAAAACGCGATTCTGATCGACTCGTATGGGCTTTCGCTTAAAAGCAATAGGAGACGATTTTACGCTACGCTCTTTGCCGTTTTGTGTGCATTTGTACAAGGATAAATTCGATTTCACGTAGGCCTGATTTTTGTCTTAAATGTCGGTGACAAAGGTAAGACGAAACCTAAATGTAATGCAACTATTTAGATACAAGTGTGTCAAGAAAACCAGTCAGTTTTGCTCTTTTTGTATGCACACATTCATAGCTACTACTGTTCTCCGAATTATCATTCGAATTATTATTATTATTATTTACTCTAAATATGCCTTGAAGGACTGTGGTAGGTTGCATTTTTTTGTAAATAAAGTGTGCTTCGTATTTTATGGACCTGAAATATTGCCAGGAGCACGACGAAACGTAAACATTTTAGCTCTTGTCTTTTTGTCTGTTAGATATCTTTTGATATCTCAAACGTAAAGCTACAAAAGCATTAGTTCGCGTTTTATTAGATAAACATGTTTGACACAAATCCCGAGTTGTTGTAACATTGTAAAGTATCGTGTAACATTATTGGGTTTCCACACACAGGCTGTGGGATCTTAGCGCGGGTTTCTCCGTGTGTTCGCTGCTGTTCGTGTCAGAAATCCACCGCTAGGGGGCAGACGACGATCATAAACTAGACTCTAACCCGATCAGTTTCACAGCTATCTTTATCTATATTTGACCATATGTTAGCAAGAGCGAAACGTATTGTATATGAACTTGTGGCAGTTTTTTTTTACCCCGTCCTGACCTGGCATGAAATGTATAATTTTTAATACCTTTATTCTGTAATAGATCAAGTAAACTAGCAAAGGATGTTCAGGCAAGACCAAGTAGGCTATTATCTTGATAGACTTTGTCATCTAATTCATAATTACACAGAAGGCAGTTATTGTTTAAAGTGAAAGAGACATTCTAACGAAGAAGCTGTTATTACAAACTTTTAAAAATTACTTTATTGAAAACCAGCTTTAGCCTAAATGTTCACGTTCATAGGCTACACACACATAGCTACTTTTCTGAGGAGAGCTATTTGAAAATATTATCATCATATTTTTTGGTAATAAGCTGCTTTTGTTTTTAGACACTTGAATGGATTTTAAATCTCTAAAACTATTCTAAAAAAAAAAAAGTTTTAAATTCAATATAGTTGTTAATGCCAGCGCTGATTGTAGTGGAATTTAAAGCAATTGGGAAAACTCAATGTGATACAGCTTTCACACATTCTGAGCAAACTTAATTTTGTTTTTGAATGATCTAGACTGTCGAATATTCTTTTGCAACATATATATATATATATATATATATATATATATATATACACACAATTTATTTATACATGGTCAGTCGTGTAAAGTTTATGTAATATAATTCAAAAATATGCATATGTGCGGATATTAGCTGCGATAGTAAAATAAGTAGGCCTACATAATATAATTGTTATAGCTAACTGAAGTGTTGAATACAAGCTGTTGTTTTAATGTAACGTATTTTATTGCAGCTGAAATATATATGTCACCAACTTTATATGTTCTCGCTCGGTTTCATTCTTAAATCATGACTGAAGTTTTGCATATATCGATTATCTCTGTTTTATCACAATCACACCTAACTGGAAGTTCTACAGCAGTTATCATTACGAATCAATATCACTATGAATCACCCTGTATCTAGGAATCAGATCTAAAATACTTCACTTTAAATCGAGTAGGCTTTCTATTAGTTATTTGCATGGCGAGCATTTAATCTCGAAAAACAACAACAAAAACTACGTAATAGCGAAAAGCAGTAGCTACTACATATAGAAGGGAAATTTATCACACTTCGTTATTGTTCTCCATGTGCAAATGTGTCGGATATTTTCCTCATAAGCACGTCTGGGAAATACTCCACATCTGCCCCTCAATATCTGCCCCAGACTGGGCTGAAGTAAATTTAACCGCCCTGCACATGATCCTAACACCTTTTTATCAAAATCTGTACCAATCATCACACACTAAAATTAAAATCTATTTTTTGATTCTCTGTGGCTTTAGGTTCATTAAAGCATGAAATTGGCAGCTTATAAAGAAGGTCAAGATTCTTATCCATTAGGAAGCTAGTGTAACCTCTGCGCAAAAGATTTCACTAAACAACCATTATAAAAATGCCTGCTTATGTGTCTGTATGTGTGTGTGTGTGTGAACCTTACAGTTAACTTTATCGTGAGGGGGGAAAAAAAAGAAAGAAGCTAATAGTCCCTATTGTGTGAAGCATTTATTGCTGCAGCTGTGACTTGTGTTGGGTTTTCTGGATATCTTCACGTGCTGTCCATGCAGTCATTTCATGATCCAGATGTGTGTATGGTTGAGTGAAACAAAGAGTCAGACTGAGATTAATTTACTGTAGCTTTAGACACAGATGCTAATGCACCAAAGCAATACTTTTACTCTTATATCATAATAAATTATATGTTAATAAGATGTCAAGCCCTTGCTATTAGTTATGTGAATATGATGTTTTTAGGCTTGTTCACTGAAGTTTAACTGACAATGACTAATAGATTTATTTAATGTTTATTATTATTATTATTATTTATATCTTGTAAGGTAATTATGGATCTGAAATTAAAAAGATAAATGTGAAAATAAAACGAAATTAAAAACTAAATTAAAGTGGTGGATTAACATAAAATGTGTGTTCTTGTTGTTTATCCTGTTATGTGCTCCCTCGTCTTGACTGCATTCATTACAGCACCCAGTCTCTAATATTCGCTCTGCTTTTCATTCCCTCTGTGTCGCATATGGATTCTTCCTGCGTGCAGCCGAGCCCCTGTCTGCCGTGGTCTCGGAGGAGAGGCAGGAACAGCGCGGGCTGGTACAGGTAGCTCCAGAGGGAGACCAGGACCTGCTCACCTGTGGCCAGTGTCAGATGAACTTCCCTTTGGGAGACATCCTTATTTTCATTGAACACAAAAGGAAGCAGTGCAGTGGCACTTTGTGCATGGACAAAGCAGTGGATAAGCCCCCATCACCCTCGCACGGTGAGCTGAGGAGAGCCTCCAACCCCGTGGAGGTGGGCGTCCAGGTCACGCCAGAGGATGATGACTGCTTATCGACGTCTTCTCGAGGAATCTGTCCCAAACAGGAAAACATTACAGGTAACTTCATCTCATGTGATTTTTCCGTTAACTATAGAAGGGCTGTGCGTGTATTTGTGTGAGGAACATTTGTGGTGGAGCCGAGTTGTTGTGTGGGCCGCATATCGTAGACACATGTCCTTTCTCAGTGGGTCGTCTCATTCACAGCTCTGGAGACGTATCAGAGTGCTGAATATTTAAAAGCTGTGGGGCAGGAAGGGGAAGGGGGGTATATTCAATCAAACCTCAGAGTGAGAAGCCATTACGAAGACCAAAAGAGGAACCGGCATTACTTCATAGAGTACAAAGATTAAAAAACAAAAAAGCATTTCAAATCTGATTTATTATCTCAAGATCATCGCTGCTTGGAATCAAGGATCTCCTTCAGATGGACTCTGTGGGATTTGGATAATTAAGCTCAGATTCGAACCGTAGATCACACGTTCCCACCACCGACTGCATGCTTCGGTTTAGCACATTTGCACTTTGTGTTTCAAATCCTTTTTCTCTGGTAACTTGTCGTTCACTCTCCATGGTAATCAAATGAGACACAAAGTGGCAGACTGTGACTTAAAAGTTGTAGATTTGTTGAAGTAGAGTGCAAAGGGTGTGTTCTTTATGGCATGGTGGACTGCTCATCCCTACTGGGAGAAAAAAAAGTGGGATAGAGGGGGAGAAATTTTGGCACTGGAGGGGCGGTTCGAGGAGTCCTTGCTGTGACAGGAGAAGCCATCCCCCTCGGTGTGTGTCCACAGGCTCATGGGAAATGCCTCTCTGTGCTACACAGCCTCTCTCATGTGGTCTCGACAGATGTATCTTGATTTCGTTGTGGGTACTTGCATAGGCACATCTTATCCGTATAAATGCATGCCTTCACATTTTCACTTTCTGTCAAAAAAAGAAAGAAATGGAAGGCCATTCGGTTATTTTGGTTTGTCAGGAAACAATAACACAACGCTAATTATTTGTTTTAGTTTTGTGGATGTGCATTTTAATTAGCGTTTGACTTTATGCACTATATAAAACACGGAAAATACAGTCATAAAAAAGATAGTCCCTAATTTCCACTGTAAACAGCTTAAAATATAGACAACCCTGGAATCTTAGAGTAGCGTAAGTCTAATCTTGCTTAAGCTGAACGTTAAGTGAAATGAACTGCTTTAAGTTGTCGGTGTGTTATTATGTGTCCATGAGTGTCTTGTGCTGGTGGGGCGATTTAGAGTGGCTGTTTTTTTAAATATAGAAAATGTGAGAGTGAGACTTTCCAGTCTGTTTTTCTGGCCTGGCTTTACGTTTGGCCATTCTCTGGCCTGCCTCAAAGATCAGGTTCCAGGAAGCGTCTGGGTCTGGTTAGCCCCATCAACAGTCATTTGGACTTGACCCTTTGCTCTGGGCTAATTATCGTCTGCTGAGTTCAAGTATCAAGTTGTTTTCCAACAGTTCCCACTTGCATAGTTTGAGATACAGAAAACGAAGCCTCCTAGTTTGTGTGCATATAAATGTTTACAATAATCTGCTGTGGAACACACTTTTGTGCTATAGTACATTTAAATTTGATCAGATATGGAGGCTGATCAAGCAGGTCATTTGTGTCTGCTTGCCCTCCTTGTTTTAAGCATGTTGATGCAGTTTCAGCACAAATTATACAACCTTTATGCGAGCTGGCTATCGCACACGTCTCTTGTTTCTGTCAGCTGCTAAACTGGGTTATTAAACTCATTTACATCATAATGTATCAGGGTTCAGCTGATAGCGTTGGGTCACTGGTATTATGTGTGCTTGTTATTATTATTATTTTTTTAAAACAATTTTGTGGGAAGGTCCATAACAGCTTCTCAGCATGTTACTGAATCTGCTGCATGGCAGGTCAGACAGGGAAGAGATATTAATTAGCCATATTATAGACAATTTCAGACATAACATATTCAAGGTTAGTTATGACTGCAGCTTACCATGATTGTATAAACCATAATAATTTGAGGGAGAGAGAGAGAGAGAGTGTGTGTGTGTGTGTGTGTACCTGGGTTAGAGGTGGTCTAGAACATCACACAATTGTAAGGTTGAAGAAAAGGTGATAGTTCAATGCTTTTAAGTTAAAATAATATGTATTGTATAATGTATAATGATAAAAATGTATAATGATAAAAATGTATATAGGCCTATATATATATATAACATTTTTATTCTGTTTTCTACATATCTTTCTATTTATTAATTTTGTAAATATTATTTTATTATGAACTTTTATTTGTTTATTTTTTATTTTGTATTCATTGTTTATATTTTTTTATTTTTATTTTATCATTTAATTGTTATTATTTATTTAATTTATTTTTAAGACAGATCATTAGGCTATAGTTCAGACGACCAAATAAGGAAATTGGTATGTGTGATGCAACAACTCCATTTCCATATAGAGCTGCTCAGTGTGAGAAAAGGCAGTAACTGCCACAGAGGAATGGATTTGCTGTGTGAGCATAGAAAGTGGCAATACACACGTGTGTGACTGTGTGTTACCCCAAATAGCACAATGTATCCTGGTGAGGGGGCCTTACTAGGACTGAGACACTCTCCTCTCCCATGCAGTGATTTGATACAGTCATAATTTATTTATTTAATTTTTAATTCCTAAATGAGATTTTGAATCCTCTCATTTCTTGAAAAGCGCTTGATAAAATGTTTTAAAAAAGTTCTGAGCTCCAAATGGCCCCATATCGCGAGCCAAAGCAAATTCAATCTGTTCCATCGACATGTTTTTGGACAACGCGTTGCGAAACAGAAGATCATAGGATGTTACTCTGCATAATTTTTACATTTCATCAGACATCTTATATTGTGCAGCAAAGGACATGAAGCCGATTATATCAACAGAGTGTATTCAAAGCTCTGGGAACAACATTAATTCAACAAGACACTTTTGTGTCAACCTGTCTAATTTCTTTTGCCATTTTCAAGAAATGAGAGGATTCAAAATCTCATTTAGGAATTAAAAATTAAATAAATAAATTATGACTGTATCAAATCACTGCATGGGAGAGGAGAGTGTCTCAGTCCTAGTAAGGCCCCCTCAAAAAAATTGCAGGTGGCTCACATGCCAGACAATCACACACAGTGTAATTGATTCAATATTAATTGGATGCCCCTGATTTACATTGACTGCTACAGCCATATGCATATCAGGGGCATCCAATTAATATTGAATCAATTACACTGTGTGTGATTGTCTGGCATGTGAGCCACCTGCAATTTTCTGTGCCAAAATGTGACCCAAATGAGTGGCTTAACAAAGACCCCAGCAATTTAAGCTTTTTTCCCATATTGTTTTTTTTTCTTCCTCCTTTTTTAAATCACATATTATCTGGAGCTTGACGATCTGTCATGATCATAATTATCATCAAAGCGCCTTTCTGGAGTTCAGCTGCGAGGGAGCGAGTGTGACACTGATCGTTTTCTAAGAGGACTTGTATGGAGCAGTGTTAACTGACGTTCAGTCATCAGTGAGAACCGAGGCAACCACGACAGTTGTTTTTATTTTCCAAACTGCCCCGTGCAGCATGGGAGTGTGTGTGTTTCTGAGAGACGTAATAGATTTTCTTTAGAGGCATGTGTGGAAATATGCATGTATACAGAGGCTGCTCAGTATCACAAGATCATTTGATTTGTGCAGGTGTGTGTAGCTGCCACGGCTTAATATGGGGCGACACCTTTTTTTTTTTTTTTTTTCA